TCACGTGATTGGACCGTGCTACTGACGCAGGAAATCAAGGAGGTGAGAGATCGAACCAGTCTACGGCCGCACCCAGCCAATCCACTAAGTCGCAACTATGCATCACGTGAGCACCCTCCCGCATGCAAACACGTGTTAGTGCTCGAACTTGCCAAGCAATACTTTCAATGAACTACACCATCCAGATATACCAATCCACACATTGGATCAAATAGAACGAGTTGACGGCTGGTGCATTCCTGTTAATTTCTATACAGCCTAAACTCCCCAAGATATCGTTGTATCAACTGAGGAATCGCTCCCAAAGCGTCCTCCCCATCGCCCATCCTGTTTAATCCGTACCCAACCCCGCCTGATAATAAAACAAAATAAACTGGATCTAATAATGAAGGAGTATGTTGTGCAAGATATCCGTAAACGCCGCCAAGTTCCCATATGTACAAAGTGTTATAATGTTATACAGCGTAGATATCTTACGGCGATGATTCACTTGAATCGCCATCTAGGCTCCGAGATCTCATCTCGCTTGCGGCCTCATTACCCTGTTCTTTGGGTTGATAGTTGAGGCGCATTTTCTCATCTAGCATTGTGACAAGCCTTTCCGAGTATTGGTCCAACAGACCGTTCAAGACTGTCTCGTTCATAGCTTTGCTTCTGATTGCCCTGTCCCCCAAGGCGGAAGCTGTAAGCCGCAACTCTTGATCTAACTCTGCGAGAACCTCGGCGTTGATGGGCTCTGCAGATGAGAGCTTTTTTCTGTAAGCTCTCAACGTGCGGCAGGCCTGCTCCGTTGACATGTTTAGACTTCCAAATGATGGAAGGGTGGAACCCCCAGAAGTTTTCCTGTTAACGCTCACGCCCAAAGCCGGCAGAGAGGGCCTTCTCTTTACTTTTGACTTGGGGCTGGTAGGGGGGCTCGCCGTGCGGCCTCCATCAGAGGGCCGACGTGAGGGTGTGTCCTCCGCAATACTGATGGTGCTGGGGCTTGCGTATTGGGGTCCACTGGGTGTCTTCATCATATTGGTCAAAATCGTCTTTCGTGATGCTCGCCGTCTGAGTGTTCGAGGCGGTGATGACTGGCGACTACCTGGCGTTGGTCTTTGAAATTCGGCCAAATCTGCCTTTGATAATACTCTCCTCAACGTTGGGCGTCCCGTTGGCCCGTCTTTCGCTGGTGACGGGTCTCTGCTCATCGATTTTGGTAGGGGATCGTCCAAGTCCAATGTCCAGATCATTATAGTCGCGTCAGAAGCTACACTGACGACCCTCCGACTCCCATCCTCGCCCTCGATTAGAGCTACACCATTAATAGCTTCAGTGTGGCCCCATTCACGGTCCAAAAACGAACCCGAGTTCGCATCATAAAGTCTAATCGACTTATCCGTATTGGAACAACCAAGCAAAAAATCTTGATCCTTGGGCTCCCAATTACCAAAGCAGAGGGAATCAAGAACGGCTGTTTCAACTCCTCCCTCATCAAGACATTTGAAGTTGGCAATTTGGCGGCCGGTGGCGAGTTCGAACTGGGAGAAGGATCGGTCGAGGTAGGAGACAAAGATGTTTTTGCCGTCCTGGCTCATTGCCATGGAGGAGGGTGAAACCTTGAGGGGGATTACCCTCGAAGGGATGGCGGCAATGGTATCGGGTTCGTCCATTTTGCAGACTATATCGTGAACTTGCATAGTTCGATCTGTCGAGCATGTTACAACTCTGTCGTCTGACGGGATTAACACTTGGACCACTTTAGCATTGAACTCAAGCGTCTGGAAATGCTCGATCCTGCCATCTGAGGCTCTGTGAAACAACTGTGTCGTTCGATCACGTCCGCAACAAGCCATCAGAAAGCTCTTCTCGCCTTCGAACATGCTGATGCCGAGGCAGTCAGCGGAATGAGCCTTCGTGTCGAGGAGGCACTCTTTAGTCTCCGTATCCGTCAGTTTCAGAATACCTTGACGATCAGCCGTGGCGAGTAGTTTCCCACTAGCTGATACTTGAGCACAAGTCAGCTGGTTGGCCAGGCCGAACTCGGCATCGAAGTCTGATGTATCAAGGGCGATGTCCATCGATAGTTTCACACGCCCTTCTAGATCCCAGAATGTAACCTTCCCCGAACCCGACCAGGTCAGGAAAGATGCTCCTATATTGTTCGATTTCGGCAGTGGCTGAATTCCAGCAACCGCCTCTCCTACGCCAGGGATTGGAATCGAAGCTTCTGTTTCGGTTTCGTCTCCTGGGAAATGATCCGGGTTCCAAATGTCGATAGACTGGTTAGAGTCAATTGTGACTAGTTTATTCGTCAGGAACCCGATGGCAAGCACACCATTTGTTGCTTGTGTTGTTCTCAACACACTCGTGGCCAGGCCCTCCATAAGGCCCTCGACATCCACAGTTGTCAATTGCCCTTGACTGCCACCTATGTAAGCGAGATTGTCCCTAATGATTGTGGAAGTAATGTTGTATCCCAAGTTGAGGACTTTGACCAGCTTCATTTGCTTGTCATCGTCGTCCAGAATACAGACGTCGCCTGACTCCGTGCAGATGATCAGCCTGTTCTTGTCAACACAGGCACAGCTGAAAGTTGACTCAAGAAGTCCACCCAGCAGAACGTTGCGTCCAGGCAGTGTTCTCTGGGATGGCGGTGTTGGGGCCGACTCGCTCATGAACCTCTGCTTTGTGGGCGAGATTGCCGGCCCCTCCTCGACTTTCCACATCTTCACATGACGCAATCCTAGAGTGAGGAGAGAGTTGCCCAGCCACACCATGTCTCTGATGTGGGACGTACACCGGTTCTGCTGGAATAGCTTTGCAGCACCGGTTCGGGGATCAATCCTCCAGACATAGAGGAAGCCGTCGTTGGCAGCACCCAGGGTGGCCAGCCACCGAGAGTCTGCCGACCAGGCCACGGCCTTGACACCGAAGGCATGTTCGTTAATAGCAACGAGTGGTACATCCGACGACGCATCGTGTAGATTAAAGATTAAAACCCGCGGTGCATATCCCGTTTCGCCCACGGCCAGGTATTTCCCATCCCGGCTTAGGGCTAGACAGGTTGCAGCCTTCACACGCTCACGGCTGGTCCAAGTTTTCGAGCTCGGCGAGTCCCAATCGGAATAGGGTGAATCCCTGGCGGCGACTCGCCCGCGACTGTCGTTCGCCTTGGGAGTTCCGGCTGGAGTAGAAGAATTATTTTGGAAGGTCGCCGCCTGGTAGATGGGCAAGGTTGTAGGCCGAGCTCGGTAAAATCGCTGCAAGTACTGGTCCCCGCACACATCCACCACCACCACTGCAGCACCAGCTACATATGCAAAGGAGGAATTGACGGTGCCAAATCCCGTGGGTGAGGTGCACGTCGTTCCAATCACTCTTTTCAAAGCCAGGCGGGGTTCATGGGAGAGGCGGGGGCGAAGCGGCGAACGAGTTTGTCGGTTCAGGAACGGAGAGTTGGCTGGAGTCAGCTTCAGCCGGTTATGGGTGGGTGTTGCAACAGCCATGTCTGCGCCATTGACATGAGTAACGGTTGGATGGAGTGCGATTTTTCAAACGGCCCCGAGGAAGATGATGGTCGAAAAAGAAGAGGAAAGGACTGAATTCGGGTCCACTGAGAGTTGGCGGTGGCGGTCAGGAAAAAGAGAGACAATGAGTGGTTGGGCAGGTGCAATTCGTCGTGGTCTGCTCCCCGTCCCTACGGAAGCAGGAGGTTTGGTCTTAGGTACTGTAAAAGCTGCGGCGTGTTAGCGGCATACGCAAATGTCTCGGCCGACGCGGGCACTCACAGCGACAACAGAAAAATGAAATCCCACAGATCCTGTATCCGAGCAAAAAGAGAAGATTAAAAATGGTCACCTCGGACCTTGAGTGAGGGGAGAGAAGAATCTGGCGATAGATAGCTCACGGCCGGATCAGCTCTCTCGTCTATCACTGAGGTCCGTCCAGACCAGGGTTTGTTTTCACACTCGGTTTCCGGGGAGCAACCACCCAGCCATGCAGCAGGGGCTCTTAGTGGCCGAGTTTGGAGCCTAGGCCAGGGCTAAGCCAGCCACGGTCGGGGTCCCCTGGTCACCAAGACAGCACCACTTGGGATTAGCTCGCAGGTGCCTCGTAGCTCGCAATTATCTGAATGACAGCCACAGCCCACTAGCTCTATCTCCTCGTCCACTAAATGAGGCCTGACAGGGACTCGAGAAATATTCTAAGCACAAGACCAACCTCTGGCCGGCCGCTGGGTTGGGTAAGGTTCATTACACGCCGATCCATGTCCTCTCTCGCTCCTGTATCGCCCTCGACATGGACTCGGGCCTCCCAGCAATCCAGTATGCAAAGGAGCTCTCAGCCTGGTACGCGCATGTCTTGCCCAGGTACCTTGGGAAGATCAATCATTTCGCGATTGCAAATGGAAGTCACACTGTCTCACACATGATCCGGCTGCCGTTGGTTCTGCTTAGCGCCGTCACCGCCTCCTGGTAAATGAGGATGCACCAGCACCCCCAGTTCCGTCACCGAGTTCCACAGCTCCCGCCCATGTCAGGATATAATATAACCTCCAAGCCATGATAATACTACCGCAATCTGCACCGGAAATGCTCCCAACATCTTGTACTGCCTGATGTACCGGCAATCGCTCCGCTCACACTCACCTGGGACTACAGGTGCTACTGGTGATGAAAACCAGGATTATCCAGCTAGGTACCTTAGTACTTGTCCATCGCTCCCAGCTCGTGTGGCCATTATTATTAAATGTGCTCATGTGCTGAGCTGAGGGAGGAGTAAATTCGTACTTGGCTAGCCATAAGAGGTGGGATCCAAGTAGATAGGCGCCTCCTTATTTTAATCAGCCTTGGACGCGAACCATGACGCAACGTGCCCAGACGCGCTCTATCACATCGATTAGATTGGCCAGTCCGTACTTAGTATAACACGACATTCAACACGCCTATTTCCACGTTGAGAAGCCTATTATTCATTGGACAATGTAGACACCACAGAGTGCTCTGGCATTGGACCTAAACTGCCAGTCCTTCCTCGGACGCCTCGTCCCGCTCCAGCCGCTCCAACCCAGTCCCGACAGCTCCGTATACTCTAAGTGGCACCAGGACATCAAAACTCTCGCATGCTAGATTCTCAACCGCAGCAAGCAGTAGTCCGCCTCGATCATCCTGTGAAATCTTCTCTAATAACGGGTGGTGCTTTTGCTGTCCGGGGTCCAGACTATTCTCGTCTCGGGATGGGACAACAAACTCTACTCTAATCTTCCACTCAAAACCTACGCCGCTCGTGATAAACTCCGGCGTCGCAGTAATAGGGATTGTAGGTGTGAACACTACGCGTCGAGAGTAGAGGGCCGAGTCAGACGAAGTAGCATAGACCTTTCGGGTGACTCGTTGAATGCTGGATTCTGATCGAACCGCTAGCGAGGCGTCCACCTTTTCGGACGTCTCAAGGCTCATGTGAATTGCGTAACATGAGATGTCTGTGTCGACTAGATCGATTACCATCGTGACCATCTCTCCGAGTCTGTATGATGGCCGAGCCAACATTACGACCCCAACTCTCAATCCGTTGCGGGAGATCTCAAACCGGTTGGGGCTCTGCTGACCTGGGGTGGTCATGTTGCTTCTCAGTATTGCTAGGTCGATGGCCTCTCGAGATTCAGACTCCTCGGCCAGGATTGAAGGGCGCCGTGATCCTCCAATTGCGGATGGTGACAAGAGACCCCGGGAGTGATCCCCTGCTCGGGCAACTAGTTCATCCACGTACATTGAAAAGTCATTCATTGTTGCCGGAGTCCGGGAAGGCGCTTTGCTCTTGTGAGACTTGGGTTTTTCGCCCAGAGTCTCAACCTTGGCCTCGTCTCGAAGTAAAACGTAGGGATTCATTAGATCGTGACCCAGAATCTCCCCGACGCTATTAACACCTCCAAGCACTCGGAAGGGTACTTCGACAGACCGAACATGTTGCTCTCGAGCCCCGCCAACCCGTTGCGTTCCGATCACCAAGCTGTATGACACTTTGATAGCCTTGCCCTTGTGGGTTGGTGGGAGCCCTTTAGGTAGACGGAAGGTGTACTCATACGCCCGGCTCTGCCCTGGGGCTAGGTGTAAGTCCACAAATAAGATGGATTGTGGTGTGTTTAGTAAGGGAATTGCCTTGGAATTCGCAACTCCCCGCATCTCCTTTATTGTGCTGAGCTCACTCTTGTTGAGGAGCTCGCCAAATGAATTGCTGATGCTTCCCCATCCAAAACTACGCAACAGCCCCGATTCTCGGTAATTTGTTGGTTCCAGGCCAATCACACCCCCTCCTCGCCCGCCAACAACAGCCTTCTTTTTCACAGCCTCGAATGCGCCGAGGCTGACCAGCGAGCCATCCAAAGAAAAGGAGCCTTGAATTTGTGCGTAGCCCATCATCAACGATTCAGAAGCTCCAAGCTGTGGTGAAGAAGCCATGCTCGAGTTTCTCCGGAGATGCAATGGCCGGTTAGATGACCTTACCGGTTGCTGTACTGTGTATTCCGAGGCCAAGGTTTCCGACGAATTGTTGCTCATAGAGTAGAATTCGCCGCTACTGCGGGGTGTACCTCCAGCGAGGCTCGTGCTTGAGAGAATCCGGGCCGCTGGCCTCTCACTTAGGATCTGTTCTTTAAGGCGGGTAGTGGGGGTGGAGTTGTTCTCCTGCCGACCAATTCTGGGACTCAATAGGTTTTCGTCGGTTGGTTTGACGCGGTTCGGTATCGCGGAAGATGATGGAGGGGGCGCAGCAGGAAATCTAAACTCGGGCATGGGCATTGGCGAGCTGAGAGGAGATCGCCGAGGAGATCTCCGCGGTGCTCCAGAATTGGGCGTGTGAGCGCCTGATCCTGGAGGAGGCAGGCTACGACCGAATCGGTCTGGCGGGTATGATGCATTTTGTAGTAAAGAGTTGTTCATTCGCGGCGATGAGTTGATCGAATTGGCGGCAACTAAGATCCGGGTAAGTTAATTGGAGAGGCAGAGGGACATATTTCGTCTTGGTACCTGATGGAGGCCCGGGAATGGGTGAGCCATGTACACGTGGAGATATCTGCAAGCTTGCAGAGCGATTGTGCGCGCGTAAAGGCCGTGGCGACTTCAACGCGCTCTCATTCCGTAAAGTGTGATCATCTGCCGGTGCTACTGCCGAGCCAAATGAGAGGATGGACAGGGAGCGTTTGTGCGCATGGCCTTGACGGCCATCTGAAGCAGGGCCAGGAGAAGGCCATTGAACAGATCCTGAGCGACTGCGGAAGTCTGATGCAGGGACGCTCACTGAGTGTGCAGCTCTCCGATGGCCTTTCCCGAGCGGCGGCGACGACAGGTTCGGGCTCGGCTTCGCACGGGTATGTAGCGACGAGGTCAGCCTGTGTCTGTCGGACTGGGCATTGGCCTGCTGGGCCTGGTCCAGCTGTTGGCGCTGGCGCTGCTGCTCCTCGGGACTGGATGCGACATTCTTAAATGTGACGGTGCATTTCACCTCCTCGCCAGCGAAGACTGTCTGATCGTGCCAGCGAATAAAGACGCGGATGTGGCTCGACTCGTGAGGGGGGGCCATAGTAGTCAATCGGTCTTCCCACCAGCTACTAATAGCTGCATGTAGGGCGCGGCCAGGAGATGGGATTGGGCATCTCCGAGGGACGGGAGCTGGGGATGGTTGCGATGCGAGGTGGAAGAGTTGGAAGCTCACGGACTAGGCTGGTTCAACGTCATGGCGGCCTTCTAAGTGGTCCATGGATTCTGGAACTCTGTGAAAGGGGTCTCGGGTTAGCTGCGTCTCGGTTCCTGGCCGGGGCTCTGGCGGCATGTGATTGGGCCCGGATCTTGCACAGGATCCGCTGGTCTAAGTGCCCGGGGCCTATGTAGGTAGTAAACTTCCAGCAGGTACGCCTCGCTAATTGAGTTGGTCTAAGCCACAGAGGACGCATCAGGGAATTAAATTATGAAGAGAAAGGAAAGGCAATTTCCGTGTGCATTTATCAGACTTGTCTCTCTTTGCATATCTCTTTCGCGCATTCCAAATCGTATCTGCATGCCAACCACTCAGAGATACCTCAACTCTAATCCGTATACTCCACTTTCCACCTCCTCCGATATTGGCTGTCTACCCATCAATCGTCGCTGACGTAGAATGGCCGATAAACCAAATACCAACAAAGTGAGTAGGATCAAAGCCCACGGGATATACATTATGCCAACACCGCCGATTGGTGGACTCACTGCATAGCTCATTGCGCTCACGACGATGAGAGCAGCCCATATTTTCCGACGCTTTTGCCTCTTGCAAGCACGGATGAACATCCCTACCTGGAGAAGGACGAAAATAGTGTTGGAAAGCACCCAAGCTGCGAAACTGAGCTGGTTTCCAAACACTGTAAGGTAAATAAAAAAGGGCCCAATCATCAGAATCAAGGCACGCCAATACTCAGCCGAGACGGTGACACCTCCTACCAGGCCACGTAGGATTGCACCTATCGCTAGTGACAGTGGAAGCGTAAGTAGTAAACAAGCTGCAGTGATTCCAAATGTCTTCCATGTGAAACTGAGAGGCTGGGAGGTTATCGTAACCGAGGCTAGGATCTCTGTTGTAGTTCGCGACTCTAGTGACACTGCTTGGAGTGAGGACTTTGTCCATTCCGATAACCCAGGCAAACCTTCCAATACGTCACTTTGTATGTTCATGCCAAATATACTAGTAGTGAAGGATAGAGGGAGGAAAACACCCGCCAAGACTGTCAGCCTAAAAAGCCGCAGTTCCTGCACCGACTGCGAGCGAGACCGTAGAAGCTCTTTGTCTTCCTTGACACGTTCCTTGATTTGCTCTAGCTGCGTTTTGAAGTATTCGAAGTCTTTCTTCAAGGCTGATATTAGCGTCAAGACTTTTGATTCATCCTTCACAGGGATTGAGAGTTGGCTTTGAACTGTCTGACTCCACTCAGACAGTGCTTGGAGCACTTCTTGAGCATGGACTATTCCGGAGTGGCTTGCATTTATGCAATCTTCAAGATGATTCAAGAAACTCATCTTGCTTGAAGATGGGCTTTGCCGGATCATAATGTGCTAGAGATGTCAACATATGTTCGTTTTTTCTTCGCAATGCTCTCATTGCTCAGAAATAGCAATTACTCACAACTAGATGAAGTTGTTTATGGCATGCAAATACGAAGCGGGTCGTGTCTTCCTTTATCGTAGAGAAAACGCAGAGGATATTAATTAGTACCTCCCTCTCGGGATCCCAGTCTTCGTCATGACAAGTTTCATTATTCTTCTCTCTCAAACTAGAGAACAGGACTGTTGAATGACATGAACGGAATCGGATCAAAAGCCGTGGCTGTCCGTTATCCGATGTGGCTGGAAAATACTCGACCTTCGCAAACTCCGGGACCGGGAGAGATTTATGTGGCTCCCAGACATACACGGTGATATCAGACGTGTAGGGAGTCACATCGCGTTGCCAATAGAGGAACACCTTATTCTCGGCACAGGTCCGGTCCATATTACCTGCACTCTCAGGATTCACTCCCCAGTATATCTCGTCCTGAAGCCGACTAGCTGCATTCCCTGTTGGTCGAAGCGAGTAAGGCTTGAGAGGTGGGGGGTGGGAAAAAGAATGGACATCAAAATCAGCTATGTGGCCTAAAAACTCTGGTGTTTCTGTATTCCAGTAATGAGAAATTAAGCACTGGATTGTCCACATCGGCTGCAGATGGATCTCATTTAGACGCCCCTGTAGACTCGCCTTGGTTTTGAGGCTGAATGAAATCAGTGATCCCAGGTCTCTAGGATCTGGCTGCTCAGACAAGACGCTGTGAGTCACCGGTAAGATTATGCTCGTTGATCTGGGAAGCTTGATACTGTACAGGAGCTGCAAAGTATTGGGAATTGTCTCCCTGAGTCTATCGATAAGCTGACCTGCCCAGCCAGAGAACATATGCCTTCGTTCATCTTCTGAGATGGCGATTAAAACAAGGGACCAAAACACTCAAGGAGTAGAGATAATACCTGTACGTGCTGTTGGCGGCCCTTTTGGAGTCAAAATCCAATGGGTTGCTAGTCTGTTAAGAGCAGAAATTTCAGCGCCGACACTTTCTGTTTCTAAAAGACGACGGTCCTTAAATAAGCTATACTCCGAGAGTAAACGTTTCAAGTTCTTTCTCGCGCCGTCCGTCTCCCGAGTACGGTTGATCATTTCCCGGAGAGTTTCTTGGACCTGATCATGGGCTGTATCGGAGCCGGATACGAAGGTCAAAATCCGAGTTATTAGAGGCAGGCTTTTGGCACGGTCCCAGATTGATCGTAATCTCACAAGTAGTGGCTGTTCTGGAACGCTTGGAGTAGCCATGTTGGACATTAATGTTAACGGAAAAAAATTGTATGATCTCAAGGAGGCCTCAGCCGAGTTTACTTCAGGCTGTCGCAGGGGAAAGTGCAATTTCAAATGCGGCTGAGACGCCTGCTGCTGCAGTTGTGCCCGACAACATGTTGAATGTGCAACATTAGACACTGCAGCTGACATACGGTCCAATCAACGTCTAACGAAGGAACACCTGTAGAAGGAGATCCCTATAGGCCAGCGGCGCCGTGGTGGTCATTTACGAAAATCGCACAGTAAACCATAATGTGCTCCTCCCAGCTTTAACCTCGGCGAGTTCCCAATAACTCGATACATATCGACCAATATATGCTTCCAAATTTGCTAGTAGCGCAAACCCCATGTATCCTCTGCCCTGATGATTCTTTGGCCAGCCAGTATAAGTCATACTAAGGTGGCAAGCCAGTACCGATGTTGCGCAGCCGCAATGAGCTGGTGAGTACTACAATCAGCTGAGAGGACCGAATGGATAGAAGTGAAAACAGTGAAAACTAAGTTACTGTTGAAAGACTTCTGTGTCTTCTTACGTCGCGTTGTTCAATACTCAGTTAGCCTTCCAATCTTATGAGTCAACTAGCCACAAACCCGGGGTTGGCTCACAAACTGGAGACCAGCCTTACGAGTTTCATTGGTGATCTATCAGTATACATTTATTATCATGGAATGGTTCGATTCCACACAACGGAGCATGCTAGTCAGTCCCTTTATCTGCCTCGTAACATTTATCGGAGATCATTTCGGCAAACATCCGGACGCTGCATGCAATAATTCTGTCCAAGATCTAGGTCTGTCTTAGTTTCAATTAAATAAGCTTGATTGAGCGTCACAAGTGTAAGTATAAGCACCTGTGTCACTATCGAGACAGAGTAAAAGAGAAAGCAACATGTACCTCTTTCAAAGAAAAGTGTAAGCGCCCAGTGTCTCCAACACCAGCCCTAGCATGCAGCACAAAGATCGAAAACTGAAGACTGACGCCCATTGTGTTCGCAGGCACTCCCCGAAAGTGAGAACGGGCAATGGAAGCAGAGCTATTGATTTAATCATATCTTGGTGCGAATAATGCTTCAGTGCTAAAACATCAGTCGCAAAGAGCCGGGATGCTGGAGGGTCGCATTTAGATGCCCCTCCGAGAGCTTGAGCACATCACCAGCGGACGTTCATTGCATCGCGTGTTTCCTAGATCAATACCATGATCGAATAAGCAAATAGAAGAGAATTTTACAATAATAAATTAGAAGAAACCAAAAAGTATCCCCAGACAGGCTCCTAATGTCGGCTTTCGCACTGCTCCCCAAAGTTGCAGAGGGTACTTAAACTAAATTAGGGTGACGTTACCCAACCAACCGGATCATTTACTCCGGCTCAGGTCTCCCTTGGTGTAGTTGGTTATCACATAGCTCTGTGGGTCTCTCCCTTGTCCTTATCGATCGAACGTAGACTAACAAAAACAGTATATTTTCTGCATCCCTGAAGATATGCTAAGGTCGCCAGTTCGAGCCTGGCAGGGAGAAGATTTTTTTGTTGCATTGAGAACACCAAACCACACTTTTGCATCACTAATAAATAGAGTGGTTGCGAATGAAACCATTTTTATTCCTTGAAGCAATCATGTGTATCAACTGGCAAATCAGGTAGGATCTTGAATGCGCTACAATAACAGCTGCGCTCCAGCCCAGTGCAATCACTCCATTTGACTCTGGGCTCCTGGTTGAGATAGATTCAAGCACCCAGCGTTGCTCAAACTCTCCATATCCTTCGCTAGTGCTTTGATTGTTGGACGCAATCTTTCAATAGTGAAAAGCCTGGCGATTGGCCAGTTGCTCAGTGGCCTCGACCCAAAGGTGGCTAATAACCATATCCTTCAAGGACGTAAACCGGGATACATACACAACTGGTTCCATTTCCTTGACGGAGAAATATTCACATGCTTATCATGGTAGTTACAGCGCATAAACCCTCGATCTACAATCGCTCGCTGCATGCGACATGGGGTCCAAGCAGTCAGTTTAAGAACCGATTCTATAAATACAAAGTGCATGGTTCTGTCGATCATATTCAATACCTAACCCACAGACAGATACGGTGAATGGCCGCTAGGGGGTCTGATGCCCCGTTGCAGGCATTCTCCAAGTCCCAGAAAAATCTAGGATGAAAATGATATTTTCTCTCCACCAGGCAGAGGCGCAGATACCCAGGTCATTGAACAACTAAAACTAAATAACATAAGGGAAATCAAATTAAATCACTCTCATCGGAATTCGGCAGTAGATAAAGTTTGCATGAAACGTAACACTGAGAGCGTTAACTTGCCAACCATTTAGACAAAAATCTCTGTCGTCTCCTTCTTCATAGAATGGCAACTTGGCACCAAATAATCAATATTTTTTTCAATATTTAGTATCTAGTCCGAAAGATAATTCCAGAGTTTCATTGCCTCATGGTCGAGGGGTAAATTTTAGTCAGTAGGAGGATAACATCCCTCGTAACGTATAGTTGCCAGCCATGAGAGAAGTAGCTTCAATTCCTACTTTTCCCAGTATATTTAGCAAATACTAACGTGGCTTTAGGATGGATAATATGATCATTCGGCGCATCGAGATTCTTCAATTCCTCGACGATTATAGACTGAGCACATGCGGGCGAGCAGCTCAGAGATGGAACCCCAAGAAGCTTATATCAAAGCCGCCATTCCAGACTTGCATTCCTTTTTTGGACTGTCAAATAAAGACTATAAGTATGCATAGCGTAGGCCATGTGTCCTAGGGACATCCATTGACGAGTTTGCCTGTAGATGCTAGTGCCAGAGTCTCTGTTCATCATCCCTACCTTTCCATAGCTACAGGCCTCTGTGTTCTTAATTCGAGGTTCTTGGAAGATCGCAGTCATGAAAGATGAAAGCTTTGGACACGTTCGACCACAGTTTTTATCAGAGAATCGGTATAGATCAGCGCTTTCGGTCTTCATTTATAGGATAGTCCCAGGGCAGCGATCGTATCTTATTGAAGGCCTGCTTGTCAGAGAAGATGGCTGAGGGTGGCGCAATGACGGAGAGGCACTGAGAAAGAAGCAATGAAAAAGAAATGCAGCCGCATAGGTGATTTCTCCCATTGAATTTCCTTCAACCCTGAGTCTTCCTTGGTATCGTGATGGGCTTTTTTACCAAGTTGGGACCTGCAACTCAAATGCGGGAGGAGTGGCGTTGCTTCCAGTTGCTCACGTAGGGCGCCAACTCCTCAATGTGAGAATATCACAACTTCTAATGGTCGGGGTCGAACGGTCAATTCTTAGTCCGAACGCCAATACCAACTCTTCATGGCAAAAGTGCGACATCTGAAACATGCTTCGGCAAGCTGAGAGGAAGGTGGGAGACTTGCGCTCGGAAGTGGAGTTTGAACCAGAGATATTTCTTTTGCGGAAGTCTCGGTTTGTCGTTCTCGGCCTCATCACGTAATGAGGAAGGATAAGTGCTCACGATGTGAAGTAAGCGCGGCAAGACGTGGCACAGCTTATCTGTCAACGAAGATTGAGTCAGGGGTAGGGGAGACAAGGTTTTAAAATATCCCACCTCGAACGGTCAAAGGGAGAGGGGGGATGGGGGAATCAAAACTCCAGTTTAATAGGTCATGCGTGCATCCAGAAATTGTGTTATGTATGTGTAGGAGGTTAATAATATCAGTGCATGATCCTTCAGGGAAATCCTCAACAAAGCACCCCACTTGTCAGGCATGCTGCAATACGACCGATCGCTAAATTGAAAGTGAGGAGTCAATGAGTCAATGAACCTAAAGGTTGGGAGATCATCTAGATTGGTTCAAGTGTTATACCTTACGTTACATAACATACCCGAAGCGTTGACCATCCATGGTGGCTCACAGAGTCGTATGATGTGCAAATGGAAGAACTTCTCATTCGCCAGCCGCGACTCAATTGGATTCGGGAGGTAACTGCAACCCCTCAGACCCCAGAGCGGACCCGCAGCTTTGCAAACTAAACAAGATCTGGACATTGAGCATCTTGGAGGCGGGATGGAAAACGGAGTTTCGGAGCAGGCTTCAGCGTGGCCATGCTCGCGGTGGACACGGCGGAGGCGGCAGTGCTTTCACCCATGCATCCTGTTGGCCGGGTCAGCAGGATGCGTGCATGACCTGGACCAAAGGAGGACCGGAGCGTCTGGGCTAGGACAAGCGGCGCCGCGACCGGGAGGGACACGAGTCTGTGTTTACAGGCCATGCTTCAGATATGGTGTGGGGTACCTCGCCGTCCTTTGCACCGAGGAGGGGCTCGCCATTTGCCCAGAGCCCCAGTAAAAACCAACCGCTCTGGTGGCCAAGTGTCACCCTGCCTCGGTTGCTGGGGAAAGGTCCAGCGACGCGCGGGCAGGACCAAACATCTCATCCCCGAGGCAGTGTATCTACGTGCCAGGATATGTTTGTGTGCACTACATACGAGTGGCAAGCCCTGGGAGTCAGCCATCTGCCGCCGGTGTGACTTGATGTCCAATTGGCACGTCAGAGATGAGACATGGCCTAGTGCATGTCTGAGCGGGGTAGTTGCACAGTGACACAGCGGGTGGTAGTTGAAAATCAACCAAGTGGCGAGTACACTGTAGCAGAGCATGATTAGCACTACGTCGACGTGGTTGGCAGGACAGACAGCCGGGCGCCACTAAACTAGCAAATTAGCCTTCTTTGGGGGAGATATTAGTGGAACCTTGGACGTCGTGAGGGGTTAATAAGAGATATTGCGGCCAGGGCCAGCGATCGTACTCTGTGCCGTCTCCAAGCCTGGGCTGGTGCGGTGCGGACCCGACATTTACCCCACATAGATCCATTGAGGGGTGCCTAGTTTTTTTCTCCAGCCCACCACTGCCTCGTGAGCTGGAACGCTGGCGTCCTCGGGCGGACTTGGGGGAGATCGACGCCAGCCGCATCGGTTCCGGCTTGAGGAGAAAGGGAGGGTACCTCTCTGTGCGTAGACAGGAACCGCTGTATCAGCCACAGACGGCAGGCGGCTACGTGGTTAAACGCGGGCATCCAAAAACCACCCTAGGACAAATGGTGGTGGGTACATTGCATGGATTGACAACGATTTGCGGGGGAAGGTCTGCCTACCACCTACTTTCAGACGCATCCGCATCCGCATCCGAAGGGTAATTGTAACGAGGGCAGACGCGCTAATGATTCGCTAGGCCCCCACTAGTGCCGTCCTCACTGGCTCAGCGCGGAGCCGTGGCGGGACGTCTCTTGACGACTCTGTGCTGCTTCCAGAACAGCTCTCCGCCTGCCCTGCTGGTCCGGCTCGCCGCCCACCACAATTTCCTCTATCGCCCCTCGAGAGACATCCCACATGGAATCACGGAGCTTTTGTGGGGTGAAGCTCACTTAGCGTCAGGCATGTTTCGAAACCCCGCTTTCCCACCATGATGGGCGACTGGCATCGTCGCAACATCATAAAGCTCGTCTCCTCCCCCGAGTTGGCAACCGTTTTTTTCTCTCTTGCATCTCATTCCTCCTCACACTCTCTCCTCAATCCTACCCCACACGATACCCAACCATTCACACACTTCTACCAAAGCCAAGATGACTCTGACCGTTACCCTCAACACCCCCATCACTGGTGACTACCAGCAGCCTATTGGCCTGTAAGTCTCTCCAGCTCTCTTCCCCATGGGGAGTCACCTGAGCCTATTCTCCCAATACCCACCAGCCACTAACATCGATGTGTCTATAGGTTCATCAACAACGAATGGGTCGAGGGTGTGGACAAGAAGAAGTTCGAGGTTCTCAACCCCTCCACTGAGCAACCTATCGTCTCCGTCCACGAGGCTACCGAGAAGGATGTCGACCTGGCTGTCGCCGCAGCCCGCAAGGCTTTCAACACCACATGGCGCCAGACCAGCACAAACGAGCGCAGCAAGCTGATGCTCAAGCTCGCCGATATTGCTGAGAAGAACCTCGACCTCCTCGCCGCCGTTGAGTCTCTCGACAATGGCAAGTCCATCACCATGGCCCGTGGCGACGTCGCTGCCGTTGTTTCTTGCATCCGCTACTACGGTGGATGGGCCGACAAGATTACCGGCAAGACCATTGACATCGCCCCCGACATGTTCCACTACACCCGCCCCGAGCCTGTATGTATCCCCTGATACGACTTCCGTCGTTTGATCTCCAAGGCCCAAGACTAATCTTCAATGCAGATCGGTGTTTGCGGTCAGATTATCCCCTGGAACTTCCCCCTTCTCATGCTGGCATGGAAGATCGGCCCCGCTCTGGCCACTGGTAACACCATCGTCATGAAGACTGCTGAGCAGACCCCTCTCTCTGCTCTCGTCTTCGCCCAGTTCGTCAAGGAGGCTGGCTTCCCTCCCGGTGTTTTCAACCTGCTGAGCGGTTTCGGCAAGGTTGCTGGTGCTGCCATCTCTTCCCACATGGACATTGACAAGGTCGCTTTCACCGGCTCTACTCTCATTGGTCGCCAGATCATGAAGGCTGCTGCCGCCTCCAACTTGAAG